GCCGAGCGGATAATTTTATAAACTGTAAACGTCTCATTTAGGCGACGGGAAATCCTTTAGTTCAGAACGATGAGCTGTTAAACAGGAACCCTGCACAATAACAGTCATTTAGGAATCTTCATTATTTATAAAATTCTGCACATGTTGAGGTCTCATCATGCAATATTCAGAAGTCCTTTTCAAAATAATTATAACCAACAAAGCAGAGCAGCTCTGACGCCTCTGCTGCTCTCCTCAGATGCTCACTATGCAGCTGTGCGGGCCGATCTGGAGTCTGATGCTCAGGATTTGGAGGCAGACTCGTGGAGTTTGGCGGTTGATCAGCAGTATCTCAAAAAGCACACTAAAGAAACGGCGAAGAGACAAGACGTGATATACGGTGAGTGTGATTTCATTGTACGTGAGCCGCCTGTCCCGCGGATCAGTGTGTACAGACGGCGCTTTGAAAGGCACACTGACTGGGCCGTGCACTTTAACTTAATTCGGCGAGACCTGTAAATAAACCTTAATGTGTAAATGTGTGTGTTTAAAAAGCCTAAATGTAACTAGTGTGTCGATGAGGGGAAAACCAGGAGCTTTACGTAACATCCAGCACCTCAGTGCACTGCAATGCACGACACACACACGTGCATTACATGCGTCTGTCGTCCTGTAGAGCTGATGCAGACAGAGATGCATCACGTGAGAACTCTGAAGATCATGCTGCGCGTCTACGTCCGGGAGTTGAAGGAGAACCTCCAGATGGACGCAGGAAGGCTGGACTGTCTGTTTCCCCGCTTGGAAAACCTCCTCGACCTTCACACGAACTTCCTGTCTCGTCTCAAAGAGCGGCGGCGAGAAAGCCTCGTCCCGCCCAGCGACAGGAACTACACCATCAACAAACTGGCAGACGTCCTGATCGCACAGGTATGAGGGAGACACACGCACGCTGATGCCCACCATCGGTGACACAGCTGACGTTTGTTCTTTGTCCAGTTCTCGGGTGAAATCGGAGAGAAGATGAAGGACAGCTACGGAGATTTCTGCAGCCACCACCCTGAAGCTGTCAGCTACTACAAAGATCAGCTGCAAAACAACAAGAAGTTCCAAAACATCATCCGAGTACGATACAGAATCAGCTGCATCACATTAAAGAGGCGTTGGTTA